TGAGGCACCTGGAGCTGCTGGCCCCCTGCCGCACGCTGTACGTCCTGTGCGCCGGGAGCGGCATCTACTGCTTCGCGCTGGACACGCCGGGCAGGTGAGAGCCGGGTCGCGCGCCGTCCTCGGGGTAGGAAACCCGTCACCCTGCGGAGCTGCGACCGCCCACCTGGCTTGTGACACTAAGAAATACTAGCAGGCGTAGGTCCCACGCGACCGAGGGGCCAGCGCCTGTCCGCGCAGCGACTCCTGCCCCACCTGATCCCGGGACGCGCCCTCCTGGAGAGGCTGGCTGCCTTGTGGGTCTAACGGTGGGAGGCTTGGCGGCGGTTGGCTCCCTCAAGGAACTGCGACGGTTCCAGCTGCAAGGACCCTCCGGAAAGGCTCCTGTGAAGACCCCAGACCCAGAGTGGTGGTGGCAGCTGCTGCTGAGGGAATCCATGGGCACCCTCCACCTTGCTAACGCGGCCCGCATGTCCTTGAAGGTCAGCGAGCCAGGCTGATGACGGCAGCAGCAAGGGTGACAGCCAGTGCCCGAACCAGGCCGCGGAGTGTCACAGCCAGGTCGATGAGGATCCGTGTGAGACTGAAGAGGGTCACGTGGAGTCTGGGGAGCCGCCTTTCGACGTGGTTTCTGTGGGCCCAGATGCCTGCGTCCTGCCTGATCCCTCGCTCTGCGCTTTCACCCTGCTCGGTGACCTGCTGGTGACGGTGTCCCAGGGCCCAGGTACCTGGAAAGTGCGGCTGTTCAAGCATCTCTGTCCAGGCCCAGGCACCGAGCCAGGAGCCCAGGTCGGCGAGGTGGTGGTCCCCGCAGAGCCCCCCCAAGCCCCCAGTTTCCTTCCAGTGCTGTGCTGTGTATCACCACCCTGCTCCAGGGATCCTCACGGCTGCCTCCCGGGCCCTGAGGGCTCCATACTTCAGGAAGCCCTCTTCGGCCTGCTCTTCGGGGCAGATGCTGCCCTACTGGAGTCTCCTGTTGTCCTCTGTGGCTTCCCAGATGGCCAGCTCTGCTTTGTGGTCCTTAAGACCCTGGTCACCTCGCAGACAGCCCCAGGGGACCCAAAAGTCCTGGTCAAGGTCCTCCACCACCTGGAAGAACCCATCGTCTTCATAGGGGCCCTGAGGAAAGGGCCACAGCCCCAGGAGGGTGAGGACACACCTGCTGACTGCTTGGTAGCCCTCGGCCACCATGGCCGGACATTGGCCATCAAGGCTGGCCGAGACGAAGCAGAGACCCTGGTGCCAGAGATGCAGGTATACCGCCTCCCAGGACCCGTGCTCTGCGCCACTTGCAACAGGGGCAGCCTCGTCTACTACAGCACCCCCTCAAGGCTCCACGTGTTGAACCTGTCCTCCGGGGAGTCCATGCATCCCGGCCTACCCCCACTGCTGTGTCAGAACAGCGTGCGTGTCTGCAAGATCGTTGCCCTCTCATCACCCAGGGACCCTGAAGGTACGCCCCACCACTAGAGCTCCAGCTGCTGGCCCTCACCCCCAGGTCTCTGAGCTGCCAGCTAAGAGCTTCCCTGGCCCACAGCTCTGGCCCCAGTAGGCAGCACCTGGTACCCAGTCTGTGTGTGTCCTGCGGCAGTGTGCTTGAAGCAGATTAGACATGCACCTGGGCCAGGGCTCCCTGGGTGAAGCCTGAGGGGTCAGCCCTGGTGTTACCCCTGCCCCAGGTGTCCTTGGTGTCCTGTGAGCAAGCCTGCAAGGCCAACGGTGGCACCGTCTCGGGGACAGGGCAGTGCCTGCCAGGCTCTGGGTCCAGGGACTAGGGGCTGGGAAAGCCAGCATTGGTTTCCCCAGAGCTCCTGCAGTGTCCCCGAGCTGGACTTGGAGACAACCCCCAGGAGCTGGGAGCAGGCCTGCAAGGCCGCTTCTGTGAGGTGCTCAGAGGGGGTCCCTATCCCGTTTCTCTGCCCCACTGGAGGGCTTAGAGCTGCCTGCCCGTGCTATGGACCCAAGTGTACCCATGTCCTCGCCGTCTGGGCTGGGTCCTCGCCTGTGTGCGCCTCACTGTCACTCCTCGGTCCCCAGACAGCACCAAGCTCCTGGCCCTCTCTGCTGGAGGCCGCCTCATGACCTGCCACGTGGCTCTGGAGCCCGCCAGGATGACAGCACGCCAGGCCACCTCGAAGATCCAGAACCTGCTCTCAGACATAAGCAGTGTTTCTGAGAGGTGAGCAGGCTGTGGCGCTGGACTATGAGCGGGGAGGCAGGGCCCTCTCGTGCCCCTACCTCCCAGGCTTGGCCATAGGAGACACGGGGAGAGAACATCTCCTGCCCTCTGAGGGGCCTGAGGTGTCCAGCTGCTCTGTGGAACACGGGAGGAAGGGGCCACTCAGGCACAGCTCGGGGGTAAGGTGGCCGACAGGGTGCCACATGGTCATATGGACGGGTGCTTTCCCCCTAGGGTACACTCTCTGAAGAAGGCAATCGAGCAGCAGAACCAGGCCCTAACCCACCTGCACCAGGCCCTGGACCTGAGCTGTGCCCTGCTCTCCTGCCAGAGCAGCCCCAAGCCCATCGTTTGCACCACCCGGCCCTTCTGGAGAGCCCAGGGCCTGCACCAGGAGCTGGTGGCCACCTGCCGGCTGGAGAACGGAGGCCCATGCAGCCTCGGCCCTGGCTGGTCCTGGTGCATCCAGGTGCTCCCCAGCTCCCATGATGGTGCCACCACCTACACGGTCCCCGTGCAGCAGCTGGCCCCTGGTGCCTGCTTCGAGGTTACGCTGGCCCTGTGCTCCGGCGAGGATGAGGGCAGCATCCCCGATCTCCCTGTGACTGTCTCCCACATGCTTTTCTACAGCCTCCAGGAGGTCGTGGGGGTGCTGCTGGCCCCCGTGGACACTGAAGAGGACCCCCTGGGAGTGGCATGGCCCCAAGACCTGCTGCCCCCACAAGATGGTGCCTGCCTGCCCCTGGGCTTGCACACCGTGGACCTGCTTCAGGGCCTCCGTTTCTCCAGCCTGGCCACGCCTTGCCTGCCGCCCACTAGCCCCATAGATATCTTCCTGGCAAACTGCCAAGAGCAGGGCAGTCGCCCCGGGGGCCGGGCTGCCCTCCAGGCCCCATCCATGGTGTCCATCCGGGTGTCATCAGAGCTGCTGAGGGCCACCCTGGGAGACAGGGCTACAGGTGGGTCACCTGCCCGTGACCAGACAATCCAGAGGCCCGGACGTAGTCACACACATAATCCCCATTGGGGGAACTCCTACCCTGTCATTCTCCTGAGCCCACTGGTGAGGGTAGCACCCCACGCAAGGGGCTAGATGCGCAGGCCCAGGGCCCCTCACCCAGCCCCCTGTAGGGGTAACTGGGTACTCTCCCACCGATGGGCCTGTGAGCAGGGCATGCAGAGCTCATGAGCCACCTCCTACAGGTGGGTCCCTGTGCTGCAGCACCCTGCAGTGGTTGCTGACCGAGAACACGGCCCTGGACATCGTGAGGGCTGGAGCGCTGTCATCTGTGCAGGGAGTGGCCCCCGACGGCACCAGCGTCCGCCTCACAGCCCAGGAGGCAAGCAGGACCCCAGTGCGCAGCACCTCGACCCAGGGCTGTGCATGTGGCCCATGCTGGCTGGGGCCTTTCTAGTGGTATCATTCCTGAATTCCCCCCACCCCTCAACCCCCATGTCATTTGTAACCCCCTTAATGCGCCCCCCACTCCTGGCTTAACCCTGACACCTGCTTCCCTGAAGCTCAGCGTAGCTTGGTCCCCGAGACAGCACTCATTGGTCTCAGCTGGCTCCCTGGGCTCACGCTGCCCACGGGGCCCTGAGGTTGCCATGGAGGTGGAAAGGCCAGAAACCCGTTTGTCCCTAAGGGCCGAGATGGGCGTGTAGCTGGCCGGCCTGGCCCCCGGGCCGGCACTGTCGTGATTCTGCCTCTCGCAGGTGTTGGTGGTGGACCTGGGCTCTGAGGACCCCATCCCAGCTGTGGAGATCCAGGTGGAGAGTCCCTCCCTCGCCACCGTGTGCCAAGCCCACCATGCCATGATCACCCGCATCCAGGTGGGCAGCTACCCTGCTTGGGGCAAGACCATTCCTGGCTCTGTTTCCACAGACAGGCCTGCCGCCCCCACCCCAAGCCAGCTGAAGCCCACCCACCCATACGTGCATCCTGCATTAGGGTCTCTGGCTTTATAAGCGGGGGCAGGGAGGGGGCGAGAGTAGGCAGCTGGGTCACTCCTGTTTCACCTCAGTCTGTGCCTCCCTGGCCAGAGGCAGGCACCAGGCAGAAGCCCTGGGCCGGGCGGGGTACTTCCCGCTATGGCAGGATGGCGGCAGCAGCTGGGGGCCCGCCCTGCCTCCTGAGGGGAGCATCCTGTCTGCGGGACCTGGAGCATAGTCTCAGCCTGGGCCCGGCTAGGCACCTCAGAGCTCTTCTTCAAAGCCCAAGGACTTCCCTGATGTGGGGCCCGCAGCACCCTCAAGCTGGGTCAACCACCCTGCAGCGCCATCTGCCTCGACGGTGGGCACTAGCCGACCGACGAACTGTGTGACGGACGTGTTGCTGGTGGGAACGTAGTGTACAACACTGGGATGCAGCATGGCAACCCGTCAAAGTCGGAACTGGGGCTGCTGCCACCTCCCCAGGCACGGGTCTGAGGGACCAGAGTTGTGACGTGAGTAGACACGTAGTGACGAGATGGGACAGCACTCAGCAGCGCGGACATGGCCACCACGCACGACGACCACGCCGAGACTGCCCGCCACTCGGCCGAGTGCAACCAGGCTGTTTCAGGGGCAAGTCCTGCTTGAGACCAAGTCTGTGGAGAGTCGAAACGGGGGTGCTCACAAGAGGAAACGTCGTGTGATGATTGGGGAAGGTGTGTGTGCAAAGGCAGACACATGGGACCCTGGCACGAGGGACAGCTAGGGCAGGTGCCCCTCCCTGCAGCCTCTGAGGCCCTATTTGGGTGTGAGGGGCCGAGGGAGGATGCACCCTTGTGCACCCCAGCAGGTGGAGGGGCCGTGGCTGTGCTGCATCTGCTCCCACATGTCTGAGTGAACCCTTTGCAGACACGCCCTAGCACCCTGCAGTAGGGGCTGCTGGGCTTGACCCAGCCTCGGCCATCTGGCTCCTGGTGAAACGCCTCAGGACGAGGGTCCTGTGTCCTACCCTGAGGAGCCCTGTCTGCCGGGGGTCTTGATGCGTGGCAGAGAGCACTCCCACTTGGAGCAGAGAGCGAAGGACGCCAAAGATGCCCAGCAATTGGTCCAGAGGACTCGTGGCCTTGTGAGCTGCAGCCCACGACGGCGCCCTTCCAACCCAGACCGCAGCCTGCAGTGCAGGACAGCCGCCTGGAACGGACGCTGCAGCAGAGGGTGACCCTTGTGGGACAGCTGGAACGCTTGTCTGGGACTCCAGCAGGAATCCTAAAGGCCGCCGCGGCCTCTCCCCAGTGGTAGCAGGGCCTGCCGCGTGCCACCCTGCCCGTCACACACAATACGTGCTGTCTAGTCATCGGGAGGGCCGGTCTCTGGAGTGGGCACCGTGCTTAGTGGAGTGGCTGTGCCCGTGGGCTCAAGCAGGAGTGTGGGGATGGGGCAGGATGACAGTAGGGCGCAGGGGCAGCCAGATGCCGCCCAACAGCAGCAGCTGGAAATGGGTTTGATTCAGCTCTGATGGGGGCGTGGCCTCAGCCCTGGAAGTCTGGGCAGGCTGCAGCTAGATCCTAACCTGTTCCCCAGCAGGCACCCCCAGCCCAAGAACTTGCCGCCTCTTTCCCCCAGAGGGCCCCTGGGGAGTGTGTGGCACCTCAGTTGTCCTAAGAGGCCAGGCCCCAGCCTGGTTGAGGTGGTGACTACTGTGAGACTACTGGGTGGGGTCACGGAGCCCCAGGGTTGAGCGAGAGGGGCCTGTTGGCTGGGGCTCAAGTTTGCAGAGCCTCAGCAAGGGGAGCAGCACTGTTGGTGGGGGGCCTTGGTGTGCAGACCCCTCCCTGTGAGCTGAGTTGCCAGATGCGTTCACTATCGCTTCCAGAGAAAGGTTCTGCCCAACCTTGGGGGGCGGGGTAAAGGGGGCACTGGGCAGGGCTCTACTGAGCCAAGAGCAAAGTGCATTGGCCGCCTAGTCAGGGACCAGCTTAATCCCCAGGGTGAGGTGGGGGTGGGGACAAAGTGGGAAAGGGGCCAGGCACCCCCTTATCTTCCTCATGCCCCTGTGTCTCCAGACAATCGTCACGGAGCAGGCGACCCCGGGTGCTAGCCTGCCCAACCTGCGAGTACAACGCCTGCGCCAGATCCAGGCCAACCACGAGGTGAGTGCCACCAGGGCCCCGGGGGGCACCGTGCCCCTGCCCCCTTGTCCTCCACCTCACTCCCTGCCTGTCTTAGTCTAGATCCACTTAAATCTGGGCGGGGGGATTTGTTGGACAGCTCACCCCTCCTAACTCCCACGTCCTCAGCGGGCTCTGATCCAAGGGTGTCCCCACCTGCCACCCCCAGGCCCTGCTTTGGGAGGTCCAGGCCTTACAGGACAAGCTGGCACTGCAGAGCTCAGCTGACACGCAGGCCACTGCCACTGAGCAGCTCCTGCAGCTGTACCGGCGGCTGCGGAACCCCAGCCTCACTCTGCTCTGACGGTTGTGCCCTCGCCCAGCTCACCAGCCGCTTATCCAGCAGCTGCCCGGGGCACCTCAGGGAGCCCACCACTGCCAGTGCCCCAGAGAAGACGCCTTCTCGCTTCCTGAGGGAGTGGCGCCTGAGTCGGAGGCCAGGCGAGGCGGGTGTGCTGCTGTTTGGGATGAGACTGAATTCCTGCCTGTACCCTCTGAGGCTCCTGGGGGGTGGGAGGGCCCCACAGGTACCCAGTCCCTGCCAGCAGGCTCTACACCCAAGTGCCTCTGGGACCAGCCCCATACCCAGCACTGCCCCTCCTGTAGCTGGCCTTTTACTGTGTGGGGTGTGGGGTGGGCCGCGACCTCCCCCCCATTACACCCTCTGTGCACACAGGCCCTTCTGTTAAGTCTCAGACCTGGGGGCTTGGCACCTCGACTGATCTGTGGTCAGGGCCCCTCAAACATCACCCCACCTCAGCCCCCAGAGGTGCTGCAGAGCCAGGGGCTCCCTCAGGAACAGGGTCTGACCTACAAATGCCAGTCCACTTGCCCTCCCCCCTGGGGGCCACCAGGGTCTATGAGCCAGAGACCTGTCTCAGCACTGGGTCCTTCCACCTGCCCTCAGATAAACGTCTCTGGTTACCTGCCGGAACGTCTCCTCTCAGTCCTGTGCTCCTGAGGAAGGGCCTTGGCACTGCCCCACCCCACTCACCCGTGGGCCCCAACCGGGGTTCAGGTGTCCTGGTTCCACAGCCTGGGCCCTCCAAAGCCCAGTCCATCCAGTTGCAGCAATGGGGGCCCCCACCAGGGGGTCAGTGTAGTGAGGATAAGGGTTAGGGAGGGGCAGGCCCTGAGGCCCAGAGATGGGGTCATCTGCCTGGCCCCGTGATGAGCAGCCAGGGGCCCCAGACAGTGTGCACCCCCTCTGTCCACAGAGCTTCCACTAAGATGCACTCACCTTTACCCAGAACACCCCATCTTTGGGTGACAACCCCCTTCAGCCCAACCTGCCTTCTTGAGGTGCTAGGGGGAGGGGTGGGGCCTGGGAATGGGGGAGGCTAGCAGCAACATCCCCCCTAGGCCCTGTAACCCACTTTGTCCCTGCTCAGCCTTGCCAGGGTGGTCTGAGCTGGTTGCCCCGCCCCTGCCGCCTAGCTTCAAAGGGCCGGGACTAATCCCACAGAAGCCACGTGTCCGCTGCTGTGACAAGCGGTTTAATTGGGTGGGGGGTCAGTACTCCCAGAGCGCTGCCCCCGCGGGCGCGTCCGCGTCGGCGCGCAGCAGGCCCGGGGCGCCGCCGCGCAGGTACT